TCTTTCATTTCAACTAACTTTAACCCACACTGCCCCATCCATTAACAGCATTTTTAATCAAGATGTGCCAAATTTATGGGAAATTCATTGTAAAGACATGATACAACAAATTGACAAGTCAGTAATATGTTGGGCAACAAAAAACTAACAACAAACATCAAGAATAGAGATAAAATTACTCATTAGCTGCAATAGGATGATCCAAAATTTCTCCCTCTGGGAAGTTACCATCTGAATAAAGCTCTGCTATTGATATTGACGGTGGATCTGTTTGTTGTTTATTTGCACCTGAAATAAAAATTTTATCATCTTCACAAAGGGGCATAATTCTGTAAAACATAAATAACTAGAACTGCCACTATCATGGCGTGAATACCCCCGCATACCACTTTGTCAGAATCAACAGTGGCCATTTAGAGCTCAAGGACAACCTCCCTGCCAAATCTGAGGTTACTAAGCCAGTGCATTGCTAAGTTATGTATTCTACATGATTCAAATGTGAAAATGTCAAAATCAATACACTGCCGACAGGCATTCTTTAGCAATTGAGAAGAAAAGCTTTTTTTTTTGTCAAGGTCCCTGTGACCTTGACCTTTGACCTGGTAACCTCAGTCAATAGGGGTCATCTACTAATCATGACTAACCTCCATGACAAATATGAAGACTGTGGGTCAAAGGAATCTTAAGTTATTGGGCGGACAAGCTTTTTAAAGTCAAGGCACCTGTGACCTTGACCTTTGACCTGGTGACCTCAAAGTCAATAGGGGTCATCTACTTATCATGATTAATTTCCATGCCAAATATGAAGACTGTGGGTCAAAGGAATATTAAGTTATTTGGCGGACAAGCTTTTTGAAGTCAAGGCCACTGTGACATTGACCTTTGACCTGGTGACCTCAAAGTCAATAGGGGTCATCTACTAATCATGACTAACCTCAATGCCAAATATGAAGACTATGGGTCAAAGGAATATTAAGTTATTGGGCGGACAAGCTTTTTGAAGTCAAGGCCCCTGTGACCTTGACCTTTGACTAGTGACCTCAAAATCAATAGGGTCATCTACTAATCATGACTAACCTCCATGCCAAATACGAAGACGTAGGTCAAAGGAATCTTAAGTTATTGGGCGGAAAAGCTTTTTGAAGTCAAGGCCGCTGTGACCTTGACCTTTAACCTTGGTGACCTCAAAATCGATAGGGGTCATCTACTAATCATGACTAACCTCCTGCCAAATATGAAGACTGTAGGTCAAAGAATCTTAAGTTATTGGGCGGACTAAGCTTTTTGAAGTTAAAGGCCCCTGTGACTCCTTGACCTTTGACCTGGTGACCTCAAAATCAATAGGCGGTCATCTACTAATCATGACTAACCTCCATGCCAAATATGAAGACTAAAGGTCAAAGGAATCTTAAGTTATTGGGCGGACAAGAAAAAACCGACGGACAGCCGGACGGATGGCCGGACGGCCGGACAACCTGATTCCAGTATACCCCCCTTACAACTTTGTTGTGCGGGGGTATAACAAGATATGTTTGTAAAACATGTATGCCCCCTATCAGCAGCCAATTAGTCATGTGATAAGGTTATTATGCATGACTTCTGACCCAGTGATCAAACAATTAATAAGGGTTATCAAGTATCTACTGGTCATGACCTTGACTTTGACCCCTTGACCAAACTCAATAGGGGTCATCTGCTGGTCACGACCAATAATCATATAAAGTTTGAAGTTCCTAGGCCTAAGCGTTTTTTAGTTATTGATCAGAAACCGTGTTTAACCTACAAGGTCAATGTGACCTTGACCTTGACCCCTTGACCCCAAAATCAATAGGGGTCATCTGCTGGTCATGACCAATCACCATGCCAAGTTTTGAAGTTCCTAGGCCTAAGGGTTTTTTATTATTGATCGGAAACCATTTTAACATACAAGGTGCAATGTGACCTGAGCTTTGACCCAAAATCAATAGGGTCATCTGCTGGTCATGGACCAATCACCATGCCAAGTTTTGAAGTTCCTAGGCCGAAGTGTTCTTATTTATTGATCAAACCGTTTTACTTACAAGGTCAATGTGACCTGACCCTTTGACCCTTGACCCAAAACTCAATAGGGGTCATCTGCTGGTCACGACCAATCATCATACAAAGTTTGAAGTTCCTAGGCCTAAGCGTTTTTAGTTAATTGATCATAAACTGTTTTTACCTACAAGATCAATGTGACCTTGACCTTTGACCCCTTGACCCCAAAATCAATAGGGGTCATATTCTGATCATGACCAATCACCATATCAAGTTTAAAGTCCCTAGGCCTAAGGGTTCTTTCGTTATTGATCGGAAACCGTTTTTACCTACAAGTACAACGTGACCTTGACCTTTGACCCCTTGACCCCAAAATCAATATGGGTCATCTGCTGGTCATGACCAATCACCATACCAAGTTTGAAGTTCCTAGGCTAAAGGTTCTTTAGTTATTGATCGGAAACCGTTTTTACCTAAGAGGTCAATGTGACCTTGACCTTTGACCCCTTGACCCCAAAATCAATAGGGGTCATCTACTGATCATGACCAATCACCATATCAAGTTTGAAGTCCCTAGGCCTAAGGGTTCTTTCGTTATTGATCGGAAACCGTTTTTACCTACAAGGTCTATGTGACCTTGACCTTTGACCCCTTAACCCCAAAATCAAAAGGGGTCATCTGCTGGATATAACCAATCACCATACCAAGTTTGAAGTTCCTAGGCCTAAGGGTTCTTTTGTTATTGATCAGAAACCGTTTTTACCTACAAGGTCAATGTGACCTTGACCTTTGACCCCTTGACCCCAAAATCAATAGGTCATCTGCTGGTCATGACCAATCACCATACCAAGTTTGAAGTTCCTAGGCTAAAGGTTCTTTAGTTATTGATCGGAAACCGTTTTTACCTACAAGGTCAATGTGACCTTGACCTTTGACCCCTTAACCCCAAAATCAATAGGGGTCATCTGCTGGTCATAACCAATCACCATACCAAGTTTGAAGTTCCTAGGCCTAAGGGTTCTTTTGTTATTGATCCGAAACCGTTTTTACCCAAGAGGTCAATGTGACCTTGACCTTTGACCCCTTGACCCCAAAATCAGTAGGGGTCATCTGCTGGTCATAACCAATCACCATACCAAGTTTGAAGTTCCTAGGCCTAAGGGTTCTTTTGTTATTGATCCGAAACCGTTTTCACCCAAGAAGTCAATGTGACCTTGACCTTTGACCCCTTGACCCCAAAATTAATAGGGGTCATCTACTGATCATGACCAATCACAATGCCAAGTTTGAAGTTCCTAGGCCTTAAAGTTCTTTAGTTATTGATCGGAAACCGTTTTTGCTTACAAGGTCAATGTGACCTTGACCTTTGACCCCTTGACCCCAAAATCAATAGGGGTCATCTACTGATCGTGACCAATCACCATACCAAGTTTGAAGTTCCTAGGCCTTAAGGTTCTTTAGTTATTGATCGGAAACCTTTTTTGCTTACAAGGTCAATGTGACCTTGACCTTTGACCCCTTGACCCCAAAAGCAATATGGGTCAATCTACTGGTCATGACCAATCACCATACCAAGTTTGAAGTTCCTAGGCCTAAGGGTTCTTTAGTTATCACTCGGAAACCATTTGGTCTACTGACTGACGGACCGACAAGTGCAAAGCAATATACCCCCTTTTCTTCGAAATGGGGGCATAATAATAATGAGGTCACAGACGTCAACCTATAAGAAAGCACCATTTACATACAAAAGTAGTGCGGCAAAGTATAATGAAAATCTATGACAACCTTAAAGATATTAACTATGCTTATCTTTGGGTAAAATACTTTTATTACCTACTTTAAGTGCAGAAGTTTATTCAAATCTAGAAAATTCTAACTGAATCTGTCTAATCTGAATAACAGAATGCATAAACTATGTTTTGGAATCTACATTCCCTATTTTTTGTCGTCAATTTAGACCATTCTTCAAAAATCTGGCGTCTTTTTAATGACATGATGTAATCATAATGTGTTTACATTAAGTGCGTAGTATTTAAAATGTAAAATTTTCAATAGTTTGTACTAAAAAGATGTTTATTTTACAAGATACTGTATAGTTTTACCTGCATTTTCAAGTATCAAATTTGAGCATACATGTAGCATATCTTTAACCGGTTATAATGTAAGGAAATTAATTTCCACATATAACCTTACATCAATCTTACAGTCAAGTTGACAATAAAGTTACAATGGTGTTACTCCTGAATTATAATGGACCTTATCGTATACCATATGAATGTTGATAAAGAACAAACAAACAATTAAATTTCAAAAATTACAAAAGCATGCGTTTATTTACATGGTTTACTATGAGAGTGCACAATTACCTCCTTTCTTCTTCTTTTTCTTTTTTTTCTTCTTCTCTCCATCTTCTCCTTCTAAATAGAAAAATGTCAGTCACAATTATCTTTAATATATATTGGTTCACACAAATTTTCTGAACAAGGTTTAACAATTTTTCAAGTTTTTCAACAGATTTTTAAAGCCTTAAAGATGCTGTAACACAATTTTTTCATGGTTTTATTTCATAAATATGATGCTCAAATTAAGATTTGTCAATACTGTAAGTTCCAATAAGCATTATTTATAAAGATATTACCTAATTAAACATTTCATGTAAATAAAGGGAGGTAATTAGAAATTTACTTTCTATAAATTCTAAGTCAAATTTTCCAATAAGAAATGAATGCATGTTATTCATTGATTAAATATAATGTGCACAAATATTTGCAGTACACATTTTACATATTGTTTGATGTTTGAAAATTGTTTTATTTGCATAATTATATACATATATGATTTTTTGCAAGTGTGGTATACACACAGTAACAATATCAATCACAAAACATACAGGATCTTTAAAATTCAAAATAAAGTACTTACACTATTATATTCTGGATAAAATCAATAACACTGATATCAATAAAGTAAAAAAAATACATTTTCTTCGATTTTACAACTTCATCTTGTTTGTTTGATTGGGTTTTTTCACACTGATACAGAATAGGTCACATGGCAACATTTCAGCTTTACTGGTGGAGGAAGACCTCAGGTACCCTTCCGTGCATTATTTCAGGTACAAACGGGCACCTGAGCAGAACCACTGACATTCTGTAAGCTAGCTGGATAGCTTCCTCACATGAAAGAATCCAAAGTCCCTGTCTTGATTTGAACCTGTTTAAACAAAAAAAACTTGACACCCCTAGTTAACAGGTGTTTTAATAAATACCACATTCTGTATAAGGTGATAACGATGGGGATTTTCTAGTGGTGAAGGATTAGACCTCAGATAGCTAACTATTCTCATATTTACCTGCAGTTTCTCCCTCAGCTCCTTCTATGATATTCTGATTTTCTAGTTTGTCAGAGATATTGTTAACCTCCCCTTGTTGGCCTTCATCATCAGCTGTAAATATACATGTAAAAATCATTACAACGCAAAACAAAAACAGGATACTTCACTTCCTGTTAGTCATTTTAGCAACAGGAATTTGACGTCTTTAGGATATACGCATTTCCTCTTTACCTATCTTTTAATCAATACAGCACCAGAATGTTGACCTACACCGGTCATTTGAATTTCCTCTATGTATGCTCTGAGAGTAATTATCTCTGAAATATTATCAACAAAAGATCAAAAATGGCTGTAAGTTATTCACCAGAATAAATGTGAAACTGTAAAACTTCACAGAAAACAGTTTTGGCAAGCAGAGATGGTTCTTTAAAGGACAGAAATATTCAATCTTGCCAAAATGTGATACATGATATACTTGTTGATGAGAAAAAGTTGCACCCCTTTGTATTTTAGAGAACTACAGGTGCAATGGCACAGTTTAGAATGAACAATGAATGCTAACAATACTTTGCAACAATTATTTTCCATGGTAGCAGGTAAAACAGATTTTTTCCCACTTTATAAAGGGGCCTTCCATGATTAAGGCAGTTCCAGTCTACAGAAAATGGACAAAGCCGGAGCCCGATTCTAGTAAAATTCATATTAGACTAGCATAAAATATAAAGAACTTTATAGTCTGTCAGTCTAGCAATGTTAAAAGAATTGGAAATAATATAAACATACATGTAGTATCATCAGTGATTTTTTTTTTCAATTTTCAAAACAACCTGTGGCTTTCTCAAGGGGAAAATATAGCATGTAAAATCAAATCAGAAAAATGAAACTCCAACCACTGAGAAAGGAATTTCCCCGACTCATTTGATTATATTTTCAAATTCAATTCAATTTAACACGCATGGCACATAACAGAGGCAATCTATAGGGACAGCTTTCTGTCTTCAAGCTGATATAAGTTAGTTGCTCTCATGAAGAATGTGCACATGGCATTTTAAGAGAAAATATTAGCATTTTTATGGGAAAAATAAACCTATTTTGAGCTAGGTGAAATAGCCTTTATTTAGCTGTAAAATACAGGGGGAAAAATCACTGGTTATATATCAAATGAGAGGGATATAGCAAATTGTTTTGTTGTTTAGTCGGCAAGAAGTTCCAGCCAATTTGTTATCGTTGTGTATGTATGTTAATCAATGACAATTCTTTTCATCAATTTCTCCATGATTTAAATGATTTGGAAAACCTTGTGACAACTTTTGCTAAAATTTTAGACCTACTTAAAAATGGCTGTGCCTACATTTACATGACATTTTCATGGACATAGCCTACATGTAAATGGCTTTGACAATAAAAAGTTTTTCATGTACATGTACTGATGGGAAGGGGCAATATGAAGACTTATTAATTTAATGTTTAGAAATTAGGAAAATTCACCTTAAACATATACAGAAGCAGGTGCCCATGTCTAACATTATCTGTTGTTAGATAGTGGAAATATTTCACAGCAATGATGAAAAAAAATGGTCTGGATAAAAATCATGCAATGGGCCTTTATAAACAAGCCACTGAACGGAACAGGTATAAAAGTGAATGACACACAAGTACATATAATTTTAGGTAATTATCGATATATTGGTGTATCGGTGATATTTGTTATCCTATATTGATATAATTAGGAAATAGATATCAATTCTGAGTGCATTGTTGAAGAATAATGCACGGTTTGAGTTCAAATGCGTAGTAATATAATCACGAAGGCCGATAGGCCTGAGTGATTAATTACAAAGCATTTGAACGAAAAACGTGCATTATTATACAACAATGCATGAAGAATAGATATCTATTTTCATTCTAACACGTCAAGAAAAATATTATTATTATAATAAAGTTGGACTTTATAGTTGGTGGTTAAATTTGTTTTCGCCTAAGAGTTTCCAATAGAAACGTTCTTTAAAGGCTGTTCCAGTGGGTTGAAAAAAAAACTGTTGTTAAATCTACCGTGTGTAGAAACATTTTGAGAATAACGAATTTTGAAAACGTTGATAAATCTTTGTTTGTTTATTTTATTTTACTCTATAATTTTTCAAGCGAAATACTAATTATTAAAAGTGAAATAAGTGTAAAACTTAACTCGTTTGCGACATTAAAATAGCGTACTTGATTTGATTGTTGTGCACGTGCTGTTTGGCGCTACATTGTGACGTCACGTAAACAACATTTTAAACGTCTGTACAGCGTTAACAACTGAATTAAAGATATTGGTGTTCGGATTAATTTTCTTAGTAAGACCATTTTCTTTCATTCTAGCTAGTTTTCACAGCAAAATTCGACAAAAAATTGTTTTTATTTATCATATTTTTCAAACAAAATGGCGCCCTCAATGTGAAAATATACAGGGAGATAATAAGAACGGCGAGTGCATTGTTGTAGAATAATGCACGCTTCAGGCTTTCTTTGTTTATATAGAAAAATTTCCGATAGTGTTAGAATGTTGATTAATGCCTTGCCTTGAATCATTCAATGACAGCTATAGCAGGATGAGTAGAAATAATTGTAATTTGATTATACAACAGGATAAGTGGAAAATCAACTAAAGTAAAGGATCACTGGAATCAGGGCTCATCCTGGGTGGAAATTTTAGGGAGAAGTGACTTCCTCGCGAAAAATAGGGAGAAGGGAAACAACCCAATGTGTATGCATTAACATGCATAGCTATACATCCTTTAACTATAATATAAACACAATCTATTTATCAGCTATTTATAAGCTTCCTCTAAATATTTGTTTATGTATTTTCATGTAGATTATTGATAATAATGTGTAAGAAAATTATGATGAATAAATTAATTCTGTATCTTATGTCCCAGATTAATTTTACATTATTACTTTCAATATAAGTTACATTGGATATTGATTAACAATATCTGCCTAATCTGTTCTAAATACAGAACTTTTTTTAAGACCTTACATGTTGTTATGCCACATTTATGTGCAATATAATTATGCTTATAAAACAATTTTCAAAACATGGAAGAATATGTAAAATATGTTACTGCAAACATTTGTGCACATTATATTTGATCACTAAAATTATATACATTCATTTCTTATTGAAAAATGCCACTTGAGAAATTATAGAAAAGAAATTTCTAATTACCCCCTTTATTTTCATGAATGTTAAACTCGTAATATCTTTATAAATAATTGCTTTTGAATATTTACAATAGTGATAAATCTTAATCTGAGCGTCATATTTTGACATTAAAACACATATCTATATTAAAACAATAAGAACACTTCTTTCCTGACAAATTTTGTTGTTATATACATGTACACATGATATGCATGCCGATCATTATTCGTAGTTTTCCGGGATGTCGTGCCCACGTGCGTAAGATGTGTCAAATTTGGCATTTCTACAAAGATAACAATGCCAAACACTCTCATTGTCTACAACATACCAATCGTAAGATTTTTGCGAATTGGCTTTCTTAAATTTTCGCGTAGATGTATCAGAATCAGTACTCTTTTACTGCTAGTTTTGGGCATTTCGTAGCCATGACGTGAGCGACAACAATTTTTAATTGATGTTAACGGACTGAAATCATTCAAAATATGATTAAGTTTTTAATCCAGTCGCTGATCATGAATGAAATTGATTATTTTAAATTGACTAACAGTTTGTGATAGCCGTGAAACCCCATTGCACATCGCCTAACTCGGGTTAAACACCGCGTGTATATCAATTAGGGAAGATTTGCACGTGTTCAGATGATCGGGAAAAAAACAATCTATAATTATCGCCTAATCGGTATTAACTCGCAAAACTGTCACACAATTAAACCCGTTTCGGGCCGATGCTCGATTTATTATGATTAGAGTAGGCGGTCTATCGCTTAGCATACAAGTAGACGGGTAGTATAAAGCGACGCTCTGATTGGATAATGATAATGAGCAGTCGTCATATGGGCGGATACAATCTCTGCTCTTTACATCGCCAAGTAATTACTCCTTGGGAATTAAGATTTTATCGGCGATGTTGACTTCTCTTTGATCAATTGGGAGAGCGAAATGGAAATATACACGGCGAAGTTATCGCCTGAATCGCCCTTCCGGATGAGCCCTGCTGGAATAATGTATAAGATATGTTACATTTCACAAAATACAGCCAGAATACAAGCAGATATTAAATGTTCTCAATATCCGAGTTGCCTATTGTTCAAGTGAAGCCAAATCATTTTGCAATTCAATGTGGTCAGATATATTTTAGATAGAACAGTCATATGTCACAGTACAGATCTGTTACATTTGCAGTGATTAAAAAAAAAAATTCAGAGCTACTCATCGATGCAATAGAACCTGGCAGATGCAATCTACCGCTGGAAATTTTCATACACAAATTTAATGAACCAAACCCGGAAACAAAGCTTGTGTTTTAAGTTTATGTATAAATGGTGCTATTGTGCAACATTTCAAGCAATCCATGGTGACGATATCCCGCAGCATGAATTTCAACCGATCAGGTGATGAGCGGAAAATTACAACTTTTGCAGGGACATCACAGCAGGCCTTTTTCCTCTATTTTGGAAAACGCCACATGTCAAATTTTGGAAAAAAAGTCTTCATGAAATTTTCCAATTTGAGAAAATATGCTAGCATTCAAAGTGTTACAATTGTTAAAATAAATCTAAATAAATCTTACTTAAACAGTTCAGCTTTTTCTGTCATATCAAAAATTCAAGGACAGGCTAAAATGTGTACAAATGTTAAACTGATATTTATTAAAAATCCTGTTTTTATTCACAAAACAAAAATATAAATATGGAAAAAAAAACAACATAATTTGGATGGAGTATGGGGCCCATCTTCGGACCTGTGGGATAGGGGAAAATAGGCCTGCACAGTGAAAATCCACCCGTAAAAAAAATCGTTGCGATCAGGAAACTTTGGAAAAATTGTTTAAGCTGTACTGTACAATATTCCCCTGACAAAAGGCTGTGAAACATATCAGTTTCACTTGTCCAAAAAAGCATAACTCAGGGCTCCAGATAATTTTTTAGGGCAATGAGTATTTACTCATTGATTTTTTTGTGAATGAGTAAAACTTGAAATCTGAAATTTGACAGGAGTATTTTTACTCCTTAAAATGTATGTAAAAGAGTAAAAGATTTATTATGCTTCCATGTTTATTGTATTATTATACGTGTAATACAAGATATGTCAAAGTCATTTCTTTTGCTTTCTGGACTCTCTTGGTTTATAATCTTGCATTTCCAAACGGCATACGTTTTAGCTGAACCTGAGGCATGTTTCTGTTGCTCATACGTGGCAGCGCTATTATTTCATTAATTATAACCGTCACAATTACTTTTGGGTCGATTTTTTTTCGGTTGAAAATACGAGTCAATCGTTTTAACTTTTGACAGCGACATTGTACCGGTTAATTCCACGACCTTACTATACATACGCTAACAACCGATGATAGTCGGAACTACAGGAAGTTACCGTTAGACGTTGCAAAGCATTCAAACGAAGTTAATTCCACCACCATACTATGCATACGATAACAACCGATGATGGTCGGAAATACAGGAAGTTACCAGTAGACGCTTGCTTTCGGTTACGTTTACGCGAAAGAAATGTTGCTCAATGCGTAACCTGAATTTTGTGTGCGTTTTCATACGCTTAAATTTTGTTTTGAATGCGTAAATGGGTTATTTCCATGCGTAATTTACGCGTATACGCATCTTATCTGGAGCCCTGATAACTTTTTCATTTTTTCTGTTAGTTTTTATTTGTTTGGAGGGGAACATTTACCTCTGTTAAGGGGGGAAAACATTGACCTTTTCGAAAACCTAGCTAAACACCGTTTTCCGGTATGTTACCATTTTAGCTCTGGGGAATTACACCAAATGAAGTACATAATACAGTTACGAGATATTTCTATTTTTCTATCATTATTTAACCGTTAAAGGTGAAAAAAATGATGTTGTTGAAAATTATCAATATTCATTTAATATCTAGTGCAAATTATTCAAAAAAATAAATTGATTATATAAATGAAAATCAATAAAATTCAAACTTACGTAGTGGAATCTTCCATAAAAAATAAGGTTATTTTCTGCTTAAACTTGTGTATTTACTTTATTTTTTGTATGAAATTATTCATACAATGATAATTAATTATTTTCTTATAAAGAAATAACTCTCTTATTGCAATTCAATTTAAAGAAGGCCAAAAACATCGAGTTCGCTATTACACTCCATTACATGTAGGTGAATTCCCCAGAGCTTATAATGTACAGAAAGCACCGGAAAACGGCGTTTAGCTAGGTTTTCGAATTCGTGAATACGTGTTTGGTGGGGAACTGCAGCCGATTGTTTGAAATGACTGGAGGTGAAGTGTCTTGTTCCTGATAAATAAATACTGATTACTGTAATTGACCTTTTCGAAAACCTAGCTAAACACCGTTTTCCGGTACGTTACCGTTTTAGCTCTGGGGAATTACACCAAATGAAGTACATAACACAGTTACGTGATATTTCTATTTTTCTATCATTATTTAACCGTTTAAGGTGAAGAAAATTGATGTTTTTGAAAATTATCAATATTCCTTTAATATATATTGCAAATTATTCAAAAAATAAATTGTTTAAAATGAAAATCAATAAAATTAAACAGACGTGGTGGAATCTTCCATAATAAATAAGGTTATTTTCTGCGTAAACTTGTGTATTTACTTTATTTTTTGTATGGAATTATTCTAACAATGATATTTAATTATTTTTATATAAAGAAATAACTGTTTTATTTCAATTTAATTTTAAAAAAGGCCAAAAACATCGAGTTCGCTTTTACACTCCATTAGGCGAATTCCCCAGAGCTATGTACAGAAAGTACCGGAAAACGGCGTTTAGCTAGGTTTTCGAATTCGTGAATTGTAAAGTTCTACCTTAGAAAATGCCTCGTAGCAGAACAACTCATTGCTTATATCAGTTTTCAAGACGTGTAATTAAAACATGGAATAATTTGCCAAAAAATGTAGTAGACTCAAAAAGTGTTCATGAATTTAAAATAAAACTAGACCAACACTGGACCGGAGACACACCATATAAAGTTTAAAATGTTTATTGAAAAATTATGCTGTTATAATTGTATAGCAGAGTGAACAGAAGTAGATAAAAGTATATATAATTAAACATAGAAGTGGTGAGAGCAATAAGAAGAAGTACTGAAAGATTGTCAAAAGAAGAGGGGCTTAAAAAGGGCTTGGCCCTTCCATCAGAGCCCAGAATCATCCTACAGGTATCCTACAGGTATTACATAACTTTTGACATGCTCATTCAATTCACGCTCCCAACAACAAATTTAATGAATATTGTCTCTTAAAATCTTACTTGAACAAAAGTCAAATTTATTGAACATCTTGTCTTAAATAACATAGGAACAGATGTCCGCACGGATATCTCGAAGTCGAACTATATAAATTTGTCCGAATTATCACACGTATCCGAAGATCGGTAAACAAAAAGCGAAAAATGAAAACCTTTCTTCTTCTTCCGTTTCTTTTTCTTCTTCTTTTGTGTTTCACCATCTTCGGCATTTGTATCTTCAAGTTTTACACTGTCATCATTCTTTACTTCTTCGAACTCCGTTTTAGTTTCATTTTCTGTTGTTTTTTCCATTTTTCACATGCGAATTTGAAAGCGGTGTCACATGCAAACTTACCAATGTGAAAAATCTTAATTTTCAGGTTTCGGAGTACTAAATGTATGTCCAACATGATTGTGTTTTGTGTAAGGTTATGGAATACATAGTTTCCCCTTCCATATTGTCACCAACCATAACTTCCTTTACCAACTCCAACATGGTTTCAGGGAAAAAAGGTCATGTGTTACGCAACTTGTTATGTTGACAAATGACCTCGTCACCTCAGTAAAAAATATGAGAAAAACAAGCAGATCTGATTATTTTAGATTTCAGTAAGGCTTTCGACAAGGTACAAGAAAAGTACAAGAAAATACTGCTGAAAATACATGACTATGTAATCAGAGGTCAAACTTTAAGATCGGTCAAAATATTTTAGATAACAGACTGCAGTCTGTTGTGCTAATTGGCAGCTGCTCTAACCCCTTCCCAGTATCCGCAGGTGTCCCCCAAGGCTCAGTTCTAGGACCCCTCCTGTTTCTCTTTAAAGAAATTACCTCCCTACGAACATAAATTCCCAGGTTCGCTTGTTTGCAGACGGTACTGCAATATACATTGCCCTGACATCTGCAAACCAATCAGTCATCCTCCAAAATGACCTTAATTGGTTAGAAAAGTGGAGTTGGAGTGGGATATGGAATTTAAATCACTCCAAGTGTCAAGTTATCTGCCTCACAAAAAGGAAACATCGGATCCTATCCCAACACAATACTACTTCATTGAGTCCAATTAGAATCGTTACCTCAGCTAAATACCAATTGATGCATGGATATATCAGAAAACCATACATGGGATGCCCACACATAAACAGGACATCAAAGAAAGCAAGCCAACCTTAGGATTCCTACATGATCATCTATGCAGAAACATAAAGGTTAAATCCCAATCCATAAAGTCCATTGCTTACCAGACGTTAGTCAGACACCAGCTTGAATATGGTTTAGAAGTATGGTTTTCCCACACTAAAATACAAATAGGTCAAATTGAAAATGTCCAAAGAAGAGCAGCCCGATGGATGGAAAGCTAGATTATGGTCAGACCTCTAGCGTCACGGACATGCTCCACTCCCTTTTTAAAAGTTTCGTAAACTGGAACTCAGACGTATAGATGCTAGGTTATCCCTTTTCTATAAGATTCACCATGGTCTGGTTGTTATCCTCATAGAAGAATATGTGACATCCTTCTCCCGAACATCACGTCATAGGTTATTCACAGGCACTTCAGACTATTATAAATTTTCTTTCAATCCTAGGACAGTATACCACTGGAACCATCTATATATTAATTATGTCAAATCAATTGAATGTACACTGTATCTTTAAATATATTCAAATATTCTATATATTTTTATTTATTTAAAGGCCCATTACGTCCCATAAATGCTTATATTCTTGTTTCCCAAAGACTTTTAATTTTTGGTGTACAGTTATAGTTT